CCGCGCAGAGAAACAGCTTACTCATCGCCTCGCATGTTTCACTGATGAATCGCCACCAGTAACGCTTTAAACGCTACCTCATGTATAGTTATGAGCATATGTCAGAGCCGTTCTGCACAGTGAAAGAGTCACGATTCGTCTTGATCAACATCAGGCTTTCAACATGACAAAACAAGGATCAACCTTCGCCCCAAACAAATGCGCTGCCAAGACCGCGACAACCGTGCTAGCCTTTGTTTCCCGGTCCTCTTTGCATGGTGCAGTGAAAACAAATAGCCTTTGTGTATGGATGTAGCATGAACATCACTCAAGCTCAGAGGCAAAGTAACTGGTGTAAAACGGTCAGACAATGTGACACGACAGCACGTGATGTTCCGTCCCGATCTGTCACAGGCCCCGGCCTTGCTGTGCTGCAGTGACCTGCACGGGTCCGGACCGTCGCCTGAGGGCAGGGCGGGGCGGCCAGGCCGCGGCCCCGGCAGAGGCCCGGACCGCCAGCTCGCGGGGCTGAGCGCGGCCGGCCGCCGGCGGCGGCCGCTCTCCGTTCCTTCGACCGCCTGGGCCGAGCCGGACGCGTCTGCGGCGTGCCCCTGACGCACGCGGCGGCCAGAGGCGCGCCCAGCCGCGCCCGGCCGGGGGTCACACCCGATCTTAGACCGGTGAGCTGTGTTCCACACTCGTGACAGGACCACAGTGTGTGTGTGTGGGGCGGGGGGGGGGGGGGGGTCGAGAGGTTTTAGACGAGAGCCGCCATCAGAATACACGATGACAATCTAAACTTTCCCCTTTTCCAAGCACTTCTCACGTGCCGTCCCTGTTTAACGAGCGGCGGCACGGGAGATGTCTGGCCCTGGCCCCGCCGCCGGGCGGACCACACTCGGCGCTGGGTGCCGCCGGCACGCGTGCTCGGCGCGCGGCCCACCGCCTGCGCAGCGCCGTGCACTGGCGACCGGCACGGCTGCTGCGACGCGCATACCGGCGGCCGGACGGCATCCGGCGAGGGGCGCACACAGCGCGGGGGAGGACATCCCTGCACCCAGTGCGGCGGGGACGCCTCGCAGGCGACCACCTGCCCGCTCCGTCGCCAGATTGTGGACCAGTGGTTACCCGCTCCGGCGGTGGGCGTTAGCCGGCGTCTGACATGTGTTTAGGCCTCGGCGGTGATGAAAGTTTTCACAGCGTCCTTCCAGTCGTCTGTCGCCTGACGCCAGGGTTCTCGTCTGACGCCAGGATTCTCGCCTGACGCCAGGATCATCGCCTGACCCCAGGATTCTCGCCTGGCGCCAGGATTCTCGCCTGACGCCAGGATTCCCACCTGACGCCAGGATTCTCACCTGACACCAGGATTCTCGCCTGACGCCAGGATTCTCGCCTGGCGCTGCCCGATAGGCCGCGACAGCCGTGGCGTGACGGGTCTCGAATCCAGCCAGTCATAGTTTGTCTCCCTGATGGACTTTCGATGCCCTACCTGGGACAATTAGACGACATCACACAAACAGGTTTGGATGAATGTCGACCAAAACGCGCCCTGTGGACTGGCGCCACCTCCACCGGTCTGGAGTTCGGTGGCGCTCCTCGTCGTCCGTGAAGCGGCACGGGAACGGCTAAATAATCAAACGAAACACCGTGAAGAGCGAGCGTGACGCCGACGGCTTGTGTGTGTCACGCATGATGTTCATTTTTCGGCGCGCTCCATCAAACTGAAGACCGCACCGCAGGCCGTCACAACCTTTGGACGGCGGATTTATTCATGGACTTGGTCGTTGGAATGACGTACCTTCAGTTGCTAAGCGACAGTCAGGTTGCCATGTTTCTTGGTAGCTATCTATCCGTTTAGAACTAAACGGCTCGACGGCCGGTAAATCGCCAGAGATGCTGGCGCGCCCTACAGCTACAAGCTACGCAACGGCTGGCGTAATTGATGAATCAACTCATGTTAAGTCAGGTAACCTGACTGTTATGATCGTTTGCAGCGTGTTAACAACGTCTCTCGGACCGCTTACAGTGTACAGTCTCAATCAGATTTGGGAGCTGGTCAAGGTCTCAGACAAGAGGTCGGACGGAGTTGTCCATCTGAAGCCTTCTGTTGCATGAGGAGAGGAGATGTGAATTGGGAGGAGGTGTGAATGTCTCGTGCATCCTCACGCACCGATAAGTTGTCCCCGTTTGCCTGTCAGAGGCATCCAACCAGGTCCTTCTGTCTCGTCAATACAGGCCCTCATTTTGTCAGGGGTCCCGATCACGCCTCGCCCAACGTTTTCTATCGCCAGAAAGAGAGAACCGACTAAGATTTTAGGGGTTCAGAGAAGTTTCATTTCCACCAAACGACGAAAATGAGTTACATTGGGGGTTTCATCAAGCACTTGGCAACGTCTTCGCAGTTTGTGACACAGATCTGTCGCTTTGCCAGGACCACCAGCCTCAACCTCGAGCCACTTCAGGAGTTTCGGATCGGGAGGCACAAGTCCGTTCGGGAGTACCAGGACCGGTATTTTAGTCCTCACAGGCGTCTCGTATTAAAGCCCTGACTCACGTGTGAGTCTCAGTCTGGGGGTCATGCCCGGGAGTCATGCCCGGGATTCATGATTGGAGTCCGCAGCCTCCTATCAACACCAGAGTCAGATCAGGTGTCTCAGATCAGAGCCTCTACTCGCGCCGCGAGTCTTAACTCGCGAGTCATGAGTCGCGTCGGGAGTCATTAGCCCCGGGCTGTCACGACTCCAGTGCGGGCGCGGGCGGAGCGAAAGTTCGCACGCGTCCGTTTGGTATTCCGGTCAGGCGGGCCGGGCTGCGCGCCGCGAAGCTCGGCCGCCCGCACCGCCCTCAGCTCTCGGCCGCCCGCGCAACGACGCCGGTAGGGACGCGCCCAGGCGTCACACCTGGGGGTTGGAGTGGTGTGGGGTCGGGTGGGGCACCAATCTGCAAACCGGACACCGGCATGATTTTCCCAGCAGTGCGTTCCTTACAGGTACAAAGCGCAGCGCTCCTGCCCCCCTCCCACTCCACCTGGAGGCGCCCCTGCCCCCTCCCCCGCGGGTCACCCTCAGCCGTAGTCAGCCGATCAAACGTGGCCCATTACGGCCGCCGCGGTGAGGCGATGAGACGGCGCGCCGGTCACGCTCCGGGCCTCACGAGTGATCGCTGCAGGCGGCCGAGCGGCGCTAATTGGCAGCTAGGGACAATAACGCCGCACCGTCGACATGGATAGCCGATCCACGTGCGGGTCAATCAGGCGCCGCACCGGCGCGGCTGAGGTGCGTGCAGAGGCGACACGCGACGCCTGGACTCCCGGCGGTGCAGCTGCGTAAGCGGCGCCGCGTCGGCACGGCTCGGGTGCGTGCAGAGGTGACACGGGCGCGTCTGGAGTCCCGGTGGTGCAGCTGCGTAAGCGGCGCCGCGTCGGCACGGCTCAGGTGCGTGCAGAGGTGACACGGGCGCGTCTGGAGTCCCGGTGGTGCAGCTACGTAAAAGGCGCCGCGTGGGCACGGCTCAGTTGCGTGGACACGGGGTGCCTGGCCTCCCGACGGTGCAGCTGTGTAAGCGGCGCCGGCTCCACGGGCAGGACCCTTGGTGGGCCCGCCGCTCTGGCAGATCGTACCCGGCCGGCGGATATCAGTGAGGCGCTCGGCGGCCCCTCCGCCCCTGACCTCGGGCCAGCTCCGCCGGGTCTGGCGCGTGTCGGGGCGGGAGCGACCTCGGGACGTCCCGTAACTCACACAGGCCCGGCAGCACCGGTGTCACCTGAGGCCGAACGCATGACACGACACGTCCCCCTCCCCTCCCCCCCCTCCCAGGAGCGTGACACGAGGCGTGTCGCGTCCAACAGCAACGGGGCACACGACACGTCACGTCCTGCGGGTGACATGTCGCCGACGGCCCCGCGCCTGGGGCTCGCTGCCGACGTGTCAGGTGTCAGGTCAGCAGTGTCAGTGTCAGACGATACAGTGTCAGGTCAGCGTGCCGCCGCCGGCTCGCTGCTCGCTGCAGGATGTCACAGCCGCCGTGCAGATGGCGTCAGCGACAGCAGACCCCCCTCCCTGGAATCAGCCATCAGGCTAGAACCCAAGCCAAGTCTCAGCGACCTGGAAGTGGTGCGCGGACGCCTCCCAGCCTCAAACTCGACCAAAATTGTAACGAAGTCGTTTGATTTACTTTTAGAGGCCAGTGGAATTTTTTCTGCGCATCCACTCGCGGCCATATAGCACTTACGTGCAGCGACGAACGTCATAAAAGAATATCGTGCGCGAGCCTAGCGACTGGCGGCAGTTCCGTGCAGTGCAGCGCACACGGGCGCATGTAAATTACGGCTGGAACGGAACTCACGCTGCCGCACTGCACGGGCGCTATTGCCCGGCATCCGACAGCATAAACGCTCGCCCGCCCGCCCGGTATGCAGGAGTTCCCAGAATCAACATAAATCGTCTGTGACGAGAGCAGCGCGCGCAGGCGCAGCCACGTGACGCGCGGCGCAGCTCGGACCAAAATAGTCCCGCGGCTTCGACGGGGTTCGCCGCGGGGCAGCAACATCGTGACGGCATGCGTCGTGACGGCGTGACGGCTGACGGCGTGACGGCTGACGGCGTGACGGCTGACGGCGTGATGCTGCGCGAGATATCACGACCGGCGGAGGGTATCAGGGCGGGGGTCCCATTGTCGCGCAGGCTTCCTGTGGGGGGCGAGGACGCAGGGGTCGGTGAACATGTGTCATGTCGGAGTATAAACGAACCACCGCTTGGTGGCGGCGTGGAGGCGGTCTTAGCATGGGACTAAGACTGAACAATCTGGACGCAGCACTGTGCTATGTGTGTAGAGCTGAGGGAAGCCAGTGACGTCATCAAATGGTAGTCGGCAGATAAGGCAATCGTTAGTTCCAGTGGTCGCAGGGTGATGAGTCGGTGATCAGGCAGTCAGCGAGTCAGTGATTTTCGACATGCTTTAGGATCGAAAGTAGGGATGGGCTAACTTTTATGGGCATCATGGATCCAATCCATAGCACTCACCCATATGTTGATGTTGGGCTGCTCCTTCTTCGGTTTCTTCCGTTGCCAAAATTTCCACCACGATCTTCCCATGGTGTTCTCTGTAGCGTAAGCACTGAAGATTTATCGCTTTCCACTGTTTGTTTCACTCATTCAGTTGATACTGTCGCAGAATCCCGGTGAACACTTAACGTGGATTGCAAATAAGCAGCAGCAGTTTCACGTCGGTTGTGCAGTTACAGGGATCGCTTTACGTGCGCCACACGCAGCGATTGTTCCACGCGCACCACAAACTCGTAACGATTGTTCCACGTGCACCACAAACTTGCAGCGATTGTTCCACGTGCGGTCACAAACTCGCAGCGATTGTTCCGCGTGCGCTGTAAACTCGCAGCGATGGTTCCACTCGCACCACAAACCCGCAGCGATTGTTTCGCGTGCGGTCACAAACTCGCAGCGATTGTTCTGCGTGCGCTGTAAACTCGCCGCGATCGTTCCACGCGCACCACAAACTCGCAGCGATTGTTCCGCGTGCGCCACAACCTCGCAGCGATCGTTCCACGTAAGCCACAGCCCTGCAGTGATGACGTCCTTGACGTTTCACCGGCCTACGCACCAAACCCTCGGCGTGTCACCGACTCGCCTGGCTGCCGGTCCAACGTTTCACCGATCCGAAATCGCAGCGAATTAGTTCACCGTCCGCGATCACCGGTCCACTCGTGACGCGTCTCGTGCCCACTGTGCCGTTGGTCCGGTCCGTTGGTCCAGATGCCTGGTGATCACCGCAGCGCGCCGCGGGGGCACACCGACCGAGTTTGAATTTCAGCCGTCCAGCCGTCGGTGAGTCACGTTGCACGCGCGGCGCGTCGACTGGCCGATCCACAACCGACGTCGGCGACAGGGCCCGGCCGGGCGGCGCTGCTGGCGTGTCGGCGCCCCGTACCCGCTCCCTCGAATGCCAGAGGCGCTAATTGCCGCTGGGTCGCGCGCTGCGCGCTGGCGCTGGACTGCGGAGCGGCGCCGGTGGCGCAGCACCTCCGGAGGTGGAGCTCAGGCGGCTCTGAGCCGGCGGCTGGGCGGCGCAGCGCGCCTCGCGGCCACTCCCTGACTCTGTGATGACGTGAGTGGCGGCGCCTCGCGCGCGGATCCGGCCCTCCTGCCGAGCGGAGTGGTGTCACTCTGACCTCTGCTGACCCCGGCCCGGCGGACGTCCTGCCTGCCGGGAGACGAGCTGCTGACCTGGCTGTGCGCCGAGGTGTCCTGAGCTCTGCTGACCTTGGCAGGACCGCCGTCTGACCTCGTTTGAACTTCGTAAAGCAAACGCCAGCTGGCTTCGTGCGACCCCAAAAAGGCGGACGTCGGTTGACCTCGGGCGCCCTTCAAACCTCAGACGTCAGCTGACCCAGGTTGACCTGACCGAGGCGTCTGTGGTGAACCCTGGCGCGCTCCGGGCGCCTTTCACGGGGGAAAGGCGGGGAGACGAGCGTAGGGAGGTCGGTCGAGGTCGACTGTCCGGACAGTGAGTCGACAGTGAGTCGAACCAGCCGGACAGGGAGTCGGACCAGCGCCGGGACAGCCCGTGGCGTCGCGGCTGACAATGTCCGCTCTACGCCTCAGAGGCGCTCAGGCTCGTCGGGGGCGTCAGATGGCGGCGCGCGGCCCCCCGGACGGTGACGGCGTGACGCTGCACGTCCCCTCGTGGCCGCTCCTCTCCGCACCACTCCTGCGTTCAGCCCGAGTCGGTCAAAGCTGGGCTCAACCCCGGTTGCTGCGGTCAGCCTGTCTGGCTGTCTGGCTGCTGCGGTCGGCCCGTCGGCGGTTCGCAGCAGGGCTGGGTGCTGTGGTCGGTCTCTTGACGATTCGCAGCAGAGCTGGGTACTCCGGCTCGCCTGTGCCAGACTCTGGCGGTGTACCCAGCTGCGCAGTTACGGGTGCCTTCGCCGGCAGCGAACCACCTGCGGAAGACGAGGGCGGGGTTAGTTCTCACGCGGCCGCGGTGTGGGCGTGACACGCTCTTTCCGACTCTTTTAACTGCGAAGATCATGCAAATGTGTGTCTCCATTAGCGTGAGAACGGTCCGTTCCTATTGTGAAGAAGGTTGGTAGGATTTCCTTGTGGGAGTTTTCGAATGATAAACACCGCTTCTTTGATTTCCTTTCCTCGACTGACGCTGTCACGTCCTCTCCTCACGCCATAAATAGAACACCTGGCCGGCCAGTGTCACTCTGAGGACACATTCCAGCATTCCTCGCTGCGTATACCGAGCACGCAGCAGAACTTGTCCAAACACGCAGATCTGCATCGCCAGGGGAAGGACTTGTCCCGTAACGATCGCTGGAAACTACAATCGTCCAGACGGAGCAAAAACGCGTCCATGATAAGGCGACAAGCCTGCAGAAATCAATACCGCGCAATGGATGGTGCCATCGGTCCTGTCCCGTCGGGCCGGGCCGGAGGGCGCGTGCGGTACAGTGTCGCTGGGCAGGCGAGCCTGACACACTGGGCGCCCAGGGTCAAGGCCCCGTGCACGTGAGAAGGTCACGGCCCGGTGACAGAACGTCGGCCCGGTGCGCTGCCCCAGTGCTCTGCAGTGGCAGGAAGGTCACGACCTCACGGGCGAAGGAGCTTCCGGTTCCCCGCAAAATATGATTGTCTTGAATGGTGGCAAGGCTAATTGTTTTCTGAGGGATCCGGGCCAGCCTACCGCAATGTAACGGCACTCAGTGGACTGACAAATGCACGGCATTGCTGGTGTCTCGTGCGGTGTATATCAGGCAAGTACAGGCTGCAGCGTCAATTTACCACAATGCTTGCTATCCATGGGGTTCGCGTTGCATATCTCGCATTGAATCAAGAAGCCTCAATGCGCAAGCCGAGTCCAGTTACGACCAAACTCCAGTGACAGTTACGACCGAGCTCCGGCTACAGCTACGACCGAGCTCCGGCCACAGCCACGACCGAGCTCCAGCCGCGGTTACGACCGAGCTCTGGTCACAGTTACAAACGAGCTTCGGCTACAGTTACGACCGAGCTTCGGCCACAGTTACGACCAAGCTTCGGCCACAGTTACGACCGAGCTCCGGCTACAGTTACGACCGAGCCCCGGTCACAGTTACGACCGAGCTCCGGCCACGGTTACGACTGAGCTCCGGCCACAGTTACGACCGAGCTCCGGCCACCGTTACGGCCGAGCTCCCGTCACAGTTACGACCGAGCTCCGGTCACCGTTATGACCGAGCTCCGGCCACGGTTACGACCGAGCTCCGGTCACAGTTACGACCGATCTCCGGCCACAGTTACGACTGAGCTCCGTTCACAGTCCCGACTGAGCTCCGGCCACGGTTACGACCGAGCTCCGTTCACAGTTACGACCGAGCTCCGGCCACAGTTACGACCGAGCTCCGGTCACAGTTACGACCGAGCTCCGGTACACAGGTTACGACCGAGCTCCGACACAGTCACAGTCCCACCGACCGAGCTCCGGTTACGACCGAGCTCGACCAGGTCAGGCAAGGCCGCACCCTGCTTGTAAGCCTTGGATGGGACAAAAACAACATTAAATAACTATAAGAACCAAACCTACGAGTCAAATAAAATGGTAGCGACAGCCAACAGATCGTCCCGGTAGAATAATGAAACCATGGCTGAGTTGTAAAAAGGTGCTGGAAGCGATTAGTACCAGAGATAAACTTTTTCTAACCATCACTCACGATCAGGTAGCCAGGATCGCCCGCTCCCTGGTGAAGCAATAGCAGCAGTAAACGTTGATGGGTTCTAAGCCAAACAAAAAGTCGATGCCGAGTTAAATGCGTAGAAGGCGGCTCAACATTCTCCCAAAGCGTAACAAACGTTTTCTGTTCCTGCAGCCTTTTTTTACGCTGCATTTATCATGCCCGGTTTTGGCTCTAACAACGGCCGCTTACGAGGCGAGCAGGCCCTGAGGCGTTATGGCAGCGCTATAGTTCGTAACATTACGCTGAAGCGTTAAGTGCAAAAGTGGTAACATTTTCAATGATCGAGGTTTGTTAGGTTGATATTACTACTTTTAGGATTAATGATTTTCCAGTCGTTCCAGAAAAAATCAGATATGTTTTAAGGAAGTGTAATTAATCTCCACGGCTTCATTTTTGGTCTCGGTCTACCAAGCAAAAGAAAACGGACAAAGGAAATATCTGGTGTAAAGTGTAGGCAAAAACAAAACAGAGGTGATTTGGAAGCATGCAAGTTAGCCAGAAATAACCATCACAGTCACAGAAGAGCGTGGTAGAGGCGAGCACCCCTGCCTCACCTGAGGCGTCGCATTTGGATCGCATAATTTCGGCACCCGGATTCAAATCTAATGAAGCCTTGGAACCTTAGGCAGCGTTAGAAATGATAATATTACCGTTTGAAATGTTTGAAATGCGTAAAACATATACTGAAGCAGCGCAATACGTAAAGCATGCATGCTACGTATCGCACTGCACGCGAGCGTGATCCTTCCCACTAATTGCACTCTGAATTAAGTACACACATACGAAGACATATATATATATATATATATATTATATATATATATATATATATATATATATATGTGTGTGTGTGTGTGTGTGTGTGTGTGTGTGTGTGTGTGTGTGTGTGTGTGTGTGTGTGTGTGTGTGTGTGTGTCCTGTCTGTGACATCTTGACATGTCTTTCCGATGTTCATGCTGTAAAGAGTTGCATGCGAAGCGATAGCGTGCGTCCTTTTAAAATGCTGTGTAAACATGGCCAGCTGTGAGCTTAGAAAATGGTTTTCCTGCCAGTGTTGAATGCACCTCTGAAACGCTGCACCTGACGTAAAGGCGTGTGTTTGTGATAATTGCAATTATTACTTTATTGTGATGTTGCATGCATACTTAGATAGACGCTCTCGAAAATATCATCTTATTTCCCCAACGAGACTAAACGTTCAATGCAAATGGATGGGAGGACATTGGAAAGGCTGATATGGGTTTATTGTGCGTACTTGTATATATATATATATATATATATATATATATATATATATATATATATATATATATATATAGATATAGATATAGATATAGATATAGATATAGATAGATAGATAGATAGATAGATAGATAGATAGATAGATAGATAGATAGATAGATAGATAGATAGATAGATATATATATATATATATATATATATATATATATATATATATATATATATATATATATATGTGTGTGTGTGTGTGTGTGTGTGTGTATATATACCCTTATAGTCTATATGGTCTATATCTTTCTTTATAAATATATAAATATATATAAGTATGTACACTCTTATAGTCTATATGGTCTATATCCTTCTTTATATATGTATATTAATATATATTATGTGTATGTGTCTATATATATATATATACATATATATATATATATATACATATATAATATATAACATATATATTGAAATTCCCCAGCATAGTTCTTTGCGTCAGGCTGCTCTTCCTATCGCCGTAGGTGACAAGCGCGCCCGCTTCGCTAATGGGCAGACCCATTGTGAGCTGATGCGCTGCTGCCAGGTCAGTGATCTGATCCCTCAACTCAAACCATGGACGACATCCCCGGTACAGCACAGCCACCGCCACTGCAGTCTCATTCGCCGAGAACATCCCTCTTCCATGCGTGGTTTACTCGCGGCCAGACATGACGGAAGGCTCTAAAGTGCAATCGATACATCCTGCTCCGATATCACTGCCCGCATGGAATTACCAAGTTTCCACCCTAATGCAATCGATAGACCGCAGCATGAAGCCCCGCATTCAGCCCGTCCTGCAAGGGTGACCGACAGGTGCTGTCTATTTTAACGAGCGGAAAATGGCGGATGTG